TCGATGAAAAACCGTACAGCACCCGGTCCCGACAGGATTAAGCCAGAACATCTGAAGAATCTTTCGCCTGTTCTCATCAAGACTTTGGCAAGGCTCTTCACGCGGTACCTGACGGAAGGCAAGGTTCCAAGGCAATGGAAGACCAGCAAAACCGTGTTGCTGTACAAGAAGGGAGACCTGCGACATCGGCAATTATCGCCCTATCTGCTTGTTGTCTGTAGTCTACAAACTCTTTACGCGAGTCATTCTCAACAGGATCGGAAGAGAGTTGGACGAAGGACAACCATGCGAGCAAGCTGGGTTTCGAAGAGGATTCAGCACGATCGACCACATACACAGGGTGTCAAGGCTCACTGAAGTGTCACGAGAGTATAAGATGCCGCTCTGCCTCACCTTCATCGACTTGAAGAAGGCCTTAGACTCGGTTGAGACTGAAGCCGTCATCGATGCCTTGAGCAATCAAGGTATTCCGACTCATTACATCAAGATAATTCGTGAGCTGTATAACGACTTCACAACCACCATAACACCATTCTACAAGGACATCATCATTGACGTGAAGAGAGGCGTGCGACAAGGCGATACTATATCGCCGAAACTATTCAGTGCCGCTCTGGAGAACGTCATGCGTAAGTTGGAATGGGACAACATGGGAGTGAAAGTCGACGGCCGGCAGCTACACCACCTTCGCTTTGCTGATGACATCGTATTGATAACACCAAGCATCACGCAGGCGGAACAAATGCTGGCCCAGTTTGACGAAGTGTGTGGAAAGATCGGTCTACGGCTGAATCTAACGAAGACGATGTTCATGAGGAACGGAAGAGTGCCTGATGCTCCTTTCATGCTCAACGGGACGAACATCACCGAATGCTCAAGCTACACCTACCTAGGTCGTGAACTCAATATGATGAACGATCTAGCTCCGGAACTGAGCAGGAGAAAACGTGCAGCATGGGGAGCATATAAGATAATTGAGGACGTAGTGAAGAAGACCAAGAACATCCGGCTCCGCGCCCACCTTTTCAACTCGACGGTTCTTCCTGCTTTGACGTACGCTTCAGAAACATGGACAATGAGAAAGCAGGATGAACACGCGGTTAGCGTCATCGAACGAGCTGTTGAGAGAGTGATGCTAGGAGTGAATCGACTCACGCAAGTGAGGCAAGGATTACGAAGTTCTACCCTACGTCAACGATCGAAGATCAGGGACGCTACCGCGTACGCCAAGCAGAACAAGATAAGATGGGCCGGGCACGTAATGCGTTTCGACGACAACCGGTGGACGAGAGCTGTAACAGATTGGATACCACTGGACGTCAAACGCGAACGAGGAAGACCGCCGACGCGATGGTCAGATATGTTCACGAAGTTCTCTAATGAAGTCCTTCAGAGCGTTCCACGTGTTCCTGGTGCGATACGTAAACATTGGTCAACAATCGCCCGAGACAGGGACGAATGGAGGCATCACTGGTACCCGCTCGTGCAACACGATGATCAACGGGGATACAGGTGATACAGGTGACAGGTGAAAATTTAATGATTTGGCTGGGATAAAATAGGAGTTGAGACCTTTCCGGCACTTGAAAAGAGTTTATTAGATTAAAGTTCTTTATTTCATAAAACGCTCTGGGAGTAAACATGGCCTCATTTGAGCTCAAACGGACTGAAAGAGAATGTCGGATTGGCACAGCAAGTTTATTAAGCTGTCCCGAAAGTTTTGTCCGTTTATTTTATCGCTCACTCAAACTCACAGAACATCAATCCATGGAAGACTCAAGTACCTTTTGATTCGGATTTTTATACTCTTTCTACAGCTATATTTGCTCTCTGATCTAGCCTGTCTTTGCAATGTTATCGCCATGGGTTTTTCAGCAGCTCAGCAGTAACGCCAAATATTCCCTGAATTTTAAGTTTTTTATTCTGAGGTTTCCAATGAGCGCTGGTAACTGTTATGTAGAGCAAAAGTTGGCTACATTGTAATCATTTTAGATTACATGGGTCACGTTTACCAAGTCCGTTATAATTATTTATTTGATAAACACCGCGCTATTTGAGCTTTTTGATTACATTTACCATATAAAAGTACCGAAAATTTCAAAAAGCTGCTTCTTCAAAGCAAATCAAACTTGATTATGTTGCATAAATAATGTTCAATAAGAATCATGTTTCAATTCGCAGTAATTTCAAAAGCTTTCACGTATTGCTGCAGTTGCGTGTTTCATGACTTTTCAAAAATCGAGATCTCTGAAGAAATAAATTTTTGAAGCTAAAACCAGCAGGAGAATCTAAAAATATTACCGTAAAATACTACCAATATTACTGGCTCTATTTGATCCATACATAACCCTTTCCGAAACTTCGGAACGATTAATAGCCTATTAAGCAGATAAAATTGACGGGTGGAGAGTCTTGGCAATTACCAAACAAAGCATACAAGATTGGTTCGAAAATGTATCCATAAGAAAAAAAAGAAAAATCCGCATCGAATGAATATTGAAACTTATTCAGTTCTCTATTGTGCGTGATTTATAGTGGTTTGAAAGAGCGGAAAAAACTTCGAGACAACCTAATATGTTTCACTTTCGATTTTACGAAAGAGAAAAAAATCAAAAAAAAAGATTCTTCATAAAGAAGGCTTTCTCTCGAACGCCTTGAAAGTCTGAATAAATGTATAGGCTTGACATCAAGTCCATGTTAAGCCCACACATGCTCATTAAGCTTTTTAGACACAAATACTATTGTAATTCAGATGCTCCGATTTGGACTTGTCTCGGTGGACTCTGGGCGAAACAACTCGATTCACATTGTGGGAAGACGAAGCATATTAAATTACTCCGCATGTTCAAATGAACAAAAAGAATCACTAAGATACACCCAGTACTGCACAACGAAAAAGACGGAAGCACCCTGTAAGGTCTAAACGAGAATTTTCAAAGCATTCTGAGAATTCTGAAAGCTGCAGAGGGTCGTAGAGGGCAAGTGGAATGGAAAATTGAAATGAGTTTTGAAGTAAAGTACCGGTTTTGATACCTTAGTTCAACGATTTCCCTCCACCTTTGCAGAAAACTATCCAAATTTCGCTTGCAGCGTCTGCTCCTTTCACAAATCTTCAAAGCCTTGATCTTATTACCAGCACAACTCAAATTTTCAGCATAATATAAGAAATTATTGTATTTATTATTGAACCGCAAGTTCGTTTGCGTTTTCCTTAAATAACTGTAGTTTCTTTTCTCATCCAGTATCTATTTCTTTCTTCTTATAGCTTTGATTCTTATTATTCTTGAAAAAGGGAGATTTTCATTCATTCTCTGACCAAGAGACACGGGCACGCTTTGCGTACATTTGATTGTAAAGTTCATGAGTGCGTTTTGCGCGTTTTCAATGATTTACTACAAGGAATTTGGTAAGAACATGTTCGGCTCGTTAAGCAACGTTAAGGGAGTTCGAACATTTTCTTTCACGTATAGTCAGTAGTAATTACCAGAACGCACTGAAACGCATTCATGAACTTGTTAGATTTTTCAAAAAGGCGCACAGGAGCTTTTGGAACCTATGTTTTACGAGTAATTCGTTGATAGGAGTTTGCAGCAAGCCTAGAAACAATACCTTCCTTGGCAGCGATGCTCACAAAAGCTGAGATTAAGTCTAAATTCCAGCAGACTACGGTAACTGTGTGTGCATGTAAGCGGTATACTTCTTTAACACATTAACGACAATGCGACCCACCGGTGGGTCGTACGTGTCCCGCCATTTCGGGCAATACGACCTAACGGAGGGTCGTATGGTTTTTGAAGTTTTTAACTTTGCTAGTTCACGGTAAAACTTCTTAGGCAAACCGAGTTTACTTCTGTATACACCCCTTGGAATACTTCCCAGAAGAATAACACTTTAGGCCACAGGACCCATCGGTGACCTGAAAATATTACGTAAACTCAATTTTGCGAAATATGCTCTGGTCAAAAATGGCACTCATCGAAAAATCGGCCCTGTCGTGAATGTGTTAAATCGCCTTCAACCAATCTTGCCATTTTTAGACAGGTATTATGGGAAGAGGACTCGCACCAGAACTTTTCGTATTGCGATCAGATTGGTGACTCATACATAATTCAGCAGACCTAAGATTGCCGAAGTGAAACCATAAGCGCACTTTTGAATTCTAATTTAGGCAAGCATGCATCCTGTCCAGTATATATACTGTACCTTTTTTGCAGGCTTTGCACCATAATGATATTTTGGTAGGCTTAGTGGAACTGGAAACCACAAACAGGAAAACAATAAGAAAAAAGCTATTTTGAAAAACCTTTCCTCGAACGGCACAAGACTGAAGTAATTCGAAAGAAGTTCTGGCCATTTTTTGCGATGTGGAAATTTGACTGATTGTAATTTGAATCATTTGGGGAAAAGTAATGAAATTATTGGCCGTGCTCTAGCACACTGAAGACCCTTCATTTGCAATCCTAAAATGGTTCTATACTAGTCGATTGTAATCCCCTAGACTTTGATTCCTAACTTTAGACGAAATCTTGGTAATAAGTTCACTCTTATACCTTCCAGCATAGAAGTACGATAACTCAAAATTTTTCCCACAAACCCTATTCTCTCAGCGAATAAAAAAGAACATCGAGTTGCATGCCAGCCATCAGTTAGCAAGTTAACAACTGCAAAAAGTTAGCTACAAGTTAGTTCGCCTGCCAGTAACAATTAGTCACTGCAAAATTTGATAGCTGCAAAATGTTCCACTCAATTATGCGCATTTGTTCGACATATGGGTGAGAACCTGTTCAGAACCATGCAAACTAGAAAAAAGACGAAAAAGCCTCTGATTCAAAAGTGAGACCATGTATCTGCTAATGAATTAGATTCATATTAATTATAAGAAATATAGGACTCCTACTTTTTTCTGTTTTCGGTTCCAGCTGAGAAGTCACACAGTGGATGGCAGCGTGTTAAGTCCCAGGCCTGTATAAATATCGCAGCGGTGCTTAATGAAGTCAGCGATGAGCAACGTAGTCGTCATCGGCTCGGCGGCCACCCTCGCCTTCGTGGTCGCCTCCTTGGTGACCATGATGTCCCTTCTTCGGGATATCAACGACCTACAAATGGAGGTCAAAGTTGGCATGGACGAATTCAAGGTAAACATCTTGCATGAACAATTACCCTTTTTAAACCACATCGTTCAGGTAATCTCTGACGACACCTGGAATCGCATTCTCTACAAACATCTCAATCCTGGAGGTGTATCGGATGCACCACCGACATTTGCAACACTTTATGGACGCCGTTCGCGCAGAGCAAATGGTTTCCCAGATCAGTGTAACTGTGGGGAGAAATCCAGGGACTGCCCACCTGGACCTCCTGGACCGCAAGGACCTAAGGGAGAACCTGGACCGCCAGGAAAAGATGGCGAAGATGGAAGACCTGGCGCACCTGGCCTAGCTCTGGCTGTCACTCATGACATCCCAGGCGGTTGCATCAAATGTCCGGCAGGTCCTCCCGGACCTCGTGGTGAGGCTGGAGATCCAGGACCGGCTGGACCACCTGGACCATTCGGAATGCGTGGTCCACCAGGAAACATGGGACCGGTTGGAGAACCAGGTGAAGCTGGAGAGGCAGGACCTCCGGGTATGGCTGGACGTCCAGGTCCACCGGGACCTCCTGGAGAACCAGGAACTCAGTACAGCCCCGGAATGCCAGGCATGCGTGGTCCACCAGGGCCTCCTGGACCACCTGGAGAAGCTGGTCCTCCTGGACCCGACGGAAAGAATGGAGAACCAGGACCTCCTGGTCGCCCAGGTCGCAACGGAAAAGATGGAAATCGTGGACGCAACGGACAACCTGGACCGGTAAGTTAACTTTCCAATAATGGGGTAAGACTCATCCGCAAAATTGCAGCGGGGGCCAGACGGAAAGCCAGGCGCGGATGCCACCTATTGTCCCTGTCCGCCGCGAAAGACAAAGCGTCGCTTGTAGACTTATCAAATCTCATGGAGCAAATGTATGCTTTTACACAGTCGAAAGCAGTAAATATTCAGAGTTACTTTGCGAGTTTGTAGCAGTATGACACTACGACTACTACTTCCATGAATGACAGGGAATATCAACTCTTTTAGTAGAAATTGAGCCCGTAGTAACCCCCATCTTATAAGAGGTAAATTACAAAGTCGCAACAGGTTCGAGTGCAACCTCATTCCGCAGACCATTGGACAGTCCACCGCCTATATCTCAAAATACTCGCCAACGCGCCAACGCAGCTCGAGATCTTAGCGCAGGTTTGAACCTCGTATTTTAGATGTGACCTCTACCGCAACCATTTATTCAGTTTTTTGAGCAATATTGCACATTGAAGAGACGCAGAAAGTAGCGCGAGACTAGAGACGATTAAGCCAGGTCGCGACTTAAGATAACAAGAATAATGGAGATAGAAGTCGGCACAGCTGGCACCGGGTCAAGCTGGATATCGTTTTTGGAGCGAAAAACAAAGGGGGATATCGTTTTTGCGGCTTAGATGCCGCTGTTTGCTAGAATGCCAGGGGCACGCCGATGGCACGTGGCCGGCAAGCCGCTGGCATGACAGCGGCATGCTTACTCTTCATACCTCTGTTCATTAGCATGCCGCCATATGCCAGTCGCATGCCAAATATGTCAGATGCCGCAGACATGCCGGTGGTGCTAACACAGCGCAGGAATTTGAATTCTGCCCAAACATACAAAAGCCTTGTTTACAAAAAGAACGCAATCATATGACACCAAATTTTGTGTGTGCATGCGCGTTGGGGGACCTGAACTAAGGCCCAAAAATCTGTGAAAACTTATGCGAATGAAAGCTGTGCTAATCTTTTTTTCTGAACTAGCTGGCACCGATCCTTTGCTCACATAAGTTTTCATACTTTTTTACATAAATTGTATCTACACTGTAGAACTTTAAAAAAGAAGAAACGGTTTTGTAATGTTTTCTTTTCGGCATTTGACGCCGTGCGAAAATCTCTCGGTCTGCTCCGCGGTCGAAAAATTTACTCCATTTACAAAGCGCGCCCTAAGCAAATGCAAAACAGGACAAAAGGGGATTTCCCTGATGCCAGCTCGTGCCAAGTCCTGAATAGAGACCATCTCAAATCATAGAACATAACGATTAGTGTTGCACAAACAAGTCGCGTTTACAGTTCAATTATTACATTCGCATTCATCCATTGCAAATAGCAGTTATCGCATTCGATATAGCACAGCGGCTATGCTCCCTGTTGACGAGTAGGTCAAAGGTTCAATGGCGCGTGGTCTGGCAAGTTTTGCGGAGATATTTGCAAGCCTCGTGCTAAATTTGCGTCTGCGTTGATGCGATTCGACGGATGAGTTGAAAGATGGCCGATGAATTGTTTCGTACCAATGGAAAATCGAATTAGGTTACTGATTTGCTCTGAGCTTGCTCGACGTTAGCTTGTTCGGGTTGTGATGGAGATCGCCAAAAAGATTCCTAATGCAGCAAGTTTCATCTTTGAACGATGAACCGACAAGAAAAAATTTGTCATCTTTCACGGAACTTGATAAAATCTCTGCTAAACCACTATTTCTCCCCGTTAAATGTCCACTGCAGTGACGTAACCGTCCTTCCAAATTCGATGGTTTTCTTTGTGGGGAACACCATCTGATTTGATTTGTGAGATTACTTTGTATGATTTGCAAAATATAGAATATTTACCCATTCAATGTAGTAGACGAAGCAGATTGTGCTATTCTAATCGCCCATGATTTTTCAAAGAACAGCGATGTTATGTGAAGTCGACGTTTGCCTCTCCCCAGTTCCGTCAAGGCTTCTGAATCGTGTTTGTAGGTAAGTTAATTCGTCTTGGTAAGTCCAGTGGCGTACCCAACATTTCCATTTATGGGGTCGCGACAGAAATTTTTTTCTCAAAAAAATTTTCATATTAAAGCGAAATTTTTGAATTTTGAAAATCATTTTGATCAATTACAATCCAAAGGAATCGTTTGCAAATTTTTATAACTCATGTAAGCAACTTTCAAAAATTTCGCGACCTATTCTCGAGAAGGGGGAGGGGGGAAGGGCGCTGCAGGCCTGGCTTTTTATAAGTTAAAGTGATTTTTCAAAAAACTTTAAAAAATTGTTTCAATTAATTACAAGTATAAACAAATCAATTGCAATAACTTATGGAAGTAAATTTCAAAAATTGGGTGGGGGAACGAAGGCCGCCGGTCTGAGCCGCCTTTCGGGCCAACTGGTCCTTTTGCAGTACTGTCGCTCCAGGACCAGTAGTCTCGGAGGGAGGGAGGGGGGGGGGGGAGCCGGAGGGCCTGGCGTTTTATAAGGCTAAAGTGAATTTTTGAAAAGACCTCAAAATTTATCTTAATTAATCACAAGTATAAACTAGTCACTTGCGCATTTTTATAACTCATGTAAGTAACTTTTAAAAATTTCGCGAACTATTCGCGGGTCGTACGCTACTATCTTGAACTTACCTGACTTTCAGTACTTGCAAATGTTCCCATCCACTACTTACGATAGCAAAACACTCAAGATACATCAGAATTGTTGTGTGAATCAACTACCTAGAATAGAAGTTTGCATAAATTGGTCATTAGACTTAAAAGTGTTCTACAGCTATTTGTGCTACATATGGTTGAATTATGAAAAAAACTATCTATCCTATCTGTCTCAACGTCGTCGTATTTCAATGTGTTTTAACCTCTCATATTGGTTATTCAATGTGCCTCCCATAATGGTGATCCAATTTGCCGTCGCAGAACAGGTATGTGTGAATGCCTGAGTTTCGGTTGCATCGCTTTGCCTACTTTGCTTAGATGGGTTGTCACTGTTTAGAGTCAGGCCGGGCGCATTCGCAACATGATCTAGTCCATCAGCTCTAATCGAAACGAAAATCGTAGTGCCTCAGAAGAATTTTTTTAACAATTTTAATTCGATTTCAGTTTCAAAAATTGTGCCTTTTCCAAAACAAAACAAGCTACTTGCACAATTTTCTAAATTCTGTAGTCTACTTTTAGAAATTTTGCAACCCATTCTTGGAGCGAGACGAGCGGGGGTGACAACTACGCATTGCATTTCGTTTGCCTCCACTGTTCCTCCTAATAATGGCATTCTCGCATGGCATGCCCTTTTACACTTAAATTGATGAGCCCTTTTTGGGGCACCCTTCCTTCCCCCCCCCCCCCTCCAATTCCGCAAAGATGGTATTATCATTGCTTACAACCTATCAGGTCAAAATTAATTTGATTCAACTTTGAGCCGAACTTTGACATTAATAAAATCTCATTACAAAAGAAGTAGTTTGTATATCCAAAAATACGAAGGGTGCCTCACAAAATGCGCGCACTGTTTGGTTGTTGATAACTCTCTTGCTTTAATGTTTTTCGCCGACTTTCAGGTCTGTAGAGCTGGCTTCAACTTAGATTTACAGCATTATAGTATGCAGCGGCACGTCTATCTCCTTTTATTACTGTAGGATTACGGTAGTAACAAACAATGATTTTAAGGCGTTGGGCCATATTTTGCCTCGGAAAGAAACCAGATGAGCCGAAAACTCTCAGACTAATTTGATCGCAGTCGCTGATATTGACTATAAACCGTAACAACTGATTTTCCAGCATTTGTCAGAAATGTGAATATGCCGTCCGAAAATTGAAAACACTCGTAAAAAGTTGTGTAGTAGAATCAGCATGCGTGAAACCCAAATACACAATCTTTCAGATTTTTTGAGGAAATTTTTGTCAGACGACCCATTTCACAATGCTAATATATGCTGTTTTTGCCGTTAACCTTACAGAAATGAAGAAAGATTGGTGGTTCTCTCCCTTGTATGAATGTGCTGGAGGAGTTTTGCTAAGAATCACAGTTCAAAAGACTGCCCGAATACTGGAGTGTGCCCTAAATGCAAAGACTCGCACCATGGATCTCTTTGCCTCTCAAGAGGGAAGCTACCTAACTTAGCTCGCGCTTTTGGAATAAGACACATACATTTGGAATCAGCTTCGAACGCTGATCCCAAATATGCTGTTCCCAGCTGCCGCGCATCATTCGCAACGGAGTTATGAGGCCTCCTCCCCTATGACTCGCTCTACCAGCAATCTAGTAGAAATAAGGCAATAGTCTTGACTATAAAAGGTTGTGTGGTAATATGGTAAGTGTCTCGCTCCATAAGCTGGTGGTCCGGGGTTCGACTCCTGTCGGTTGTTTTTTTTGCAAAGGTAGTCCAGAAACGCAAACATGGTTCACAAGTGTTCGATGATGTCTACGTGCATCTGGTGAGTGGCATTATCATAAATCGAAGATCTTCTGCTCCGAGCCCGCTCAAAAAATCATTTGCAATCGAAAACGGGGCAGCATTTGAGAAATCCATAAAGTTTCTATGGTGAAACTAGTACGTCGCAGTCTGAGTACACTGTCAACAGAAGTGTATTCTGAACACTGTTGAGGACTTGCAAAACGAAAAACACGCAACAGAATGGACCCGGACCACCACCTTGTTGAGCGAGACACTTACCATTTCACCACATGACCTCTAGTAGATCTTGTCACCTAGAGTAGCCGGTGGAGCGAGTCATAGGGGAGGAAGCCTCATGACTCCGTTGCGAATAATGCGCGGCAGCTGGGAACACGTTCGAAGCTGATTCCAAATAATAATAATGCTCGCGCTTTTGGAATAATGTGTCTTATTCCAAAAGCGCGAGCTAAGCTAGATAGCTTCCCTCTTAAGTTAAAGCTAGCGCTGCAGAATGTTGCCTAAAGATCGACGAAAGAATACAAAGCAAGGAATTTATCAACAACTAAACAGTGTGCAAATTTTTTGGGAGACGTAAAATCATTATCCAACAATTTGCCTTTTGA